AAATATTTTTTGTTGTAAAATAAACACTAACCAAAATAAAATAAATGACATACAAAAACACAACAATAAAACTTAAAATTAAAGTGAAAATATAAAAATAAAAATTAACACTACAATAGTAGTAATACTAAAATAAAATACTGACTAAAATGCTAAAGTAATACTAAAATAACACTGATATATATATAATAATAATAATGAATTAAAAAGTACTTAAATATATAGTTTAAGTAATATTTAATAAATAATATATAATTTGAAAAATATTTCATTTAAATGAGCTTTTATTTTACACAATGTTTACTAAGAATTTTACTAAAATTGTTGCATCCACAAAAAAGGCTGTGAATATTGGTCTACGGTGCTGGTTCATCACTAGTAATCTTAGCTCAATTTGATGCATTTTACTTTATGTTCATTCCTCAAAATCCCACAGTTTCCTTCCAAAGTCCAAATATTTTATCTGGGCCTGCTAATATGCATGTTTCCTCATAATTACTTTTTTTTATTTTTTTTGTATTAAATTGACAGATAATTCGACTGTGTACAAAAACCTGTCCAGCTGTCACAGTAACATGAAGGCGTACCTGAAGGACAATGTTCCTGATAGGCTGCACTATAAAAACAATGGAAGGATCCAGCCAATCCTTTTGGTGGCGGATGAAGGCTGGACGATTGTCAAAAATGGCAAACTCCCACGCAGTAAGTGTTCCTTGAAAGCAATTTTTGACTTTGAATTTGCATTGAATTAATTAATGAATTCAAATGAATGGTATTTACAAAATGCATATTGTGGCAATTGTGAATTGTTTTTCATGAGTTTATTTTCTTTCGCAGTGGGCGATCATGGCTATGACAATACGCTTCCCAGCATGCACCCTTTCCTGGCCGCCCACGGGCCTGCATTCCGCAAAGGCTACAAGATGTCGAGCTTTAACAGTGTGGATCTCTACCCGCTCATGTGTCACCTCGTAGGTGTCCCTCCAATGCCTAACAACGGCAGCTTCGCTCACGTGCGCTGTGTGCTAGTTAACGAGCAGTGCGGAGAGCTAGCGTTAGCGGTGGGCCTCGTCATCGGGGTTCTGATCATCCTGACCACCTTCACCTGCCTATTCAAGCTGATGAAGAACAGAGATGCCTCGTCTCCACGTCCGTTCGCCCGCTTGGAGTTAGAGGACGAAGCTGATGACGAGCCGCTGCTTGAATGAAGTGTGTTATTAGACGCAGGTACTGTGTTGGATGGAGGGATTTGACTTGATTCAAACGCATGCAGGATACGTTAAAGGAATAGTTTATCGACTTCATTTTCAATTTCAGGTGAACTGTTCCTTTAAACGCTGAAATGGTGCAGAGATGACAATCATACTGAAACTGTAAGGGAGAAATTGAAGCCAGTAACATACACGGAAGGCACAATAATGATAATGAGTCATCGTTAGTACTAAACAACATGACAAAACATGTCCTCAACATTATCAGCAGCTGTTGAGATAGAAATACTTTAAAATTTGTTCTTAAAGGGATAGTTCACCCAAAAATGAAAATTCTGACAAAGCTTGTGTTGTTCCAAACCTGTATGAATTTCAAGTTGTTCCAAACCGGTTCCAAGACTTTCTTTCTTCTGTTAAACATGAAAGAAGATATTTTGAAGAATGTGGGTAATCAAACATTTGCCAGTCACCATTGACTTCCATAGTATGGAAAAAATACTTTGGAAGTCAATGGCTACCAGCATTCAACATTCTTCAAAATATTTTCTTTTATGTTTAACAGAAGAAAGAAAGTCTTGGAACCGGTTTGGAACAACTTGAGTTTGAGTAAATGAAGACAGAATTTGTATTTTTAGGTGAACTATCCCTGTATGAGTTCCCTGGTATGGAATTTCTACTACAGAATAAAAAAAAAAAGTTTATATCTTACAATTGTTTTTCTCCTCAGAATTAAAGGTCATTTTGACTTATATCTTGTAATTCTCCAAATAAACTCCGAATTGTGTAATAAACTAGTTTTGAGAAAAAAAGTCAGAATTGCAGGTTATAAACTAATTGCGAGGAAAAGTCAAGCTTGTCATGGAATAAAAAATGCAAAAAAGGGTAAATGCGATTTATCTCACAATTCTGAGTTTATATCTCACAATTGTTTTTCCCCTCAGAATAGTGAGATAAAAACTCGCATTTCTGAGGAAAAACTCGAGCTTGTTTTTGCCGCGACTTTATATCTTGTAATTCTGATTTATTTTTTTCGCCCTTAATATTGCAAGATATAAACTCAGAATTGTGAGAGATAACTCATATTGAGAAAAAAAGTCAGAATTGCAAGTTATAAACTTGTAATTGTGAGGAAAAGTCAAGCTCGTTTCTGTCATGAAATAAAAAATAAAAAAGGGTAATTGTGACTATTTATCTCACAATTCTGAGTTTATATCTTGCAATTACAAGTTTATGTCTTACAATTCAGACTTTTTTCTCAGTAGTGACAAAAAAGTCAGAATTGTAAGAAGTCGCAATTACTTTTTTTTTTTTTTTTTCGTGGCGGAAAAACGTTTCCATACCCTGGGCAACAACAACATGTACGAAAAAAAGCAAAAAATATTTTGATTGTGTTAGATAATTTCCTGAATGATCCCACACGCAAAAGCATGCTTGCTCTCTTCGTGTTTAACAGATTTCAGAATGATTAAATCATGCTACTTCCAGTAATGCTTTTTAGCATTATCATATGCGTATAAATATTGCTTTATATCTATGCATACTCTATGTTAGCAGTCAGGTTACTGAGGTACACCATGCTTCATGCTCTTAAACTGCTGTGTTTCATCGAAAGTCTAAGTAGGTCTTAGAATGCATTGAAACAATGATTTCTACTTAGGTTTGCAATGCTTTTGGGAAATGCAGAACAAAAAAAAGTGCAGAACATAAGCAATAATAATTATTACTAGCTTCTTTTCAGTGAAGAAACCGGATACTGAGGTTACTTGAAAATGCCCGTACTGATTTTGCTTGTAGTGAAACTTTATTTATTAAGTCACGTTTTATCTGTTCTCACCGCCGGGGAAATACACAACCAGTTAAATCTGAATATTTATTTATTTTTCTATAAGTTGCTTAGTCTTTGTTTCTTTGCAGAAAAGGCGTATTTAGATTGAATGCAACTAAAGGAATGCTAAATCTCATGTTTCTTCTTGAATCCCTACTGAGGAATATTTCTGTAGGGTTTATGAGGGCTTTTTACCTGAATGTTTCTTGTATAGTAGAATGATTCTGAGTGTTGACTGTTTCTCGGAGATTGTTGTATGTGTAAATACACTGTAAAGCTTGTGTTTTTGCTTATTGCACTGTAATCTGTAGGTTCAGATTTGGGGGAAGGAAACATGTTGCTGCTTTTAAAATGAGGAATTTTAATTCTTGCTTTAAAATGTTTGTATAACAGGGATGTTATTTTTCTATTTAAAGGGGTCATTGGATGCTACATGCACTTTTACAAGTTGTTTGAACTTTGAACTGAAACGAGCCGATCTCAGATACCTGTCTGTGTGGCGTCACAAAAACAGGCCCCGCCCACGATAGTTTGATTGACAGTAGCGTTTCAGCACAGACTGGACTGGTGTCTTACCTTAGCTCCACCCTGAGTGAGCCGTCATCAGTCCGCCATCGTTTCACCGCCGGAGCAAGTGTAGACAAGAATGACTCCTAAGCGATTGAGGTGTTCTGTTGTTGGATGTAATAATGAACATAGCAGTCGGCATTTCCTCCCGACATCTGAGCCGCTGAAGACGCAGTGGATTTCGTTTGTTTCTGAAGGGAATGCGCCCCCGATCTACATAAATGCGCCTATGTTTGCGCGAATCATTCGTGATCCAGCTTCATCTACAGAAGAAGCGAGTATAATGTTTTGTAATGAATCTTTGCAAATCGCCTTTCCTAATAATGTGCTAATTAGCAAGTTTCACGATGAATGCGGCTAAAGTAAACAGTCTCTCTGAGAGCGGCTCGGAAGAGAGGGGCGGGGGCAGCAGAGCTCAAAAACATTTAAAGGAAAATGCTACAAAACAGCTTGCTCTGAAAAGAGCTGTTTTTGACAGGGTAAACAAGGTGTTTTTTACACTACCATTGAGAAATTTTAACCAAACTATGTTACAGACTTTTCTTTAAGACCCTAAAGACTCATATCAACTTGTGGAAAATGGGCATCCTATGACCCCTTTAATTACTAGCATTTGTTCTTTTTTAAATAGCATTGCTCATTTTATTGGGAAATAACAGAAGTGTTTTGGACTTTTAATGCTGGTTTTTGACTGTTGACTTGAAATGGCATTGAAGAGCTGTGCAATCTTTTTTTCTTTTTTGACTTTTTATCCATGGCTTGTCATTTTCTAAATATTTCTTGCCGTTTTGTCTGTACATTTAGCAGTGGTCAATATTATTTCACATCAATCTTTAGTTACTGAAAGGAAGGTTACTGAAACATAGGACATCACCCTGGCTTGTGCAGTATTTGGCTATCAAATGTTTGTGGTCATATTTTCACAGCTTTTTTAATCTTCATGAAACTATGCAAAGCTAAAACTAAATGGAACCTTTTGTCACTCCGAAAATTTGTCATCTGAAAATCGAATAAAATATATATTTCAGATATTTAAAGAGTGTTTTTTTTTTTGTGTAACTTGTTATGGTAATAAAGTATAGGTAGATTTTTGTAGATGACGTCAAGCAGCCACTAGAGGCCTCACTTTATGTTATTGTACAACTACCAGGTGAACTACAGGTTACTGTATATATCATGACACTGCTGTGAGGACAATCAGTTGTGACTTATTCAGTCAAGAGAAATATGATGTGTTTTTATGTACAGCATTTTTGTTAATATAGCAGCAATATGTATGGCTCTTGGCTTGTGTCTGTGTGTGTGTGTGTGTGTGTGTGTGT